CAGCGGCGTGCAATCGATCGCAAAGTTGCTGGTGTGGTGTATCAACAGGTATCAGGTAGCTGTGGCGTCGTCGGTCCGGTTTCCAGGTAGCGATCGTAGGATTCGATCAGCAGCAGCCGCCGCCGCAGGCCGCAGCCACCTGAAAAGCAATTGATGCTGTCATTTCGCCGGCAAGACAAATTATTTGGCTGTGTTTAGTTTCGTGAAATTTGGCTACTGTCGTATTTTTGTTTTTATTTAGCAATTAGTGTTTAATTATAGACTAATTACGCTCAAAACATTCGTCTCGCGATTTCCAACCAAACCGTGTAATTAGTTTTTTTCCGTCTACATTTAATGCTCCATACACGTATCGCTAAGATTCGATGTGATGGCTACTGTAGTACTTTTTGGGAAACTTTTTTGAACTAAACGTGACCTTTGATGCCAAATCGCTGGTCGGCGTAGTTTTTATTTTGTTCCCCTCCCTCCCGTCTTTTCAGTTTCAGGATCCGAATCACTAATGTTCGGCGTTGCCATGTTGTCAACAATGTACTAGCACTGTGGGCTTGTTCACCTGTCTTATAATCTGTACTTTTTAGCTTATTTTTTCAGCCAGAACAATGTTTTTCTCTCACGACAAATCACCCGGGACAGTGTTTCGGCTTATTTTTTCAGCGAAAGCGTATGCCCTGTTCGCTTGAACTTATCAACCGTATAATATTTTTCTCTAACAATAAATCAACGAACAATACTTTTAAGCATAGCTTCTCAGTGAAACGAATAAGGCCGTATCATCAAGCACTACCACCCTGTCTGTGTAGTAGTACGAAATTGTGGAGGCGAACAACGGCAATTACTATCGTCTTTGACAAATGATGCAACTACTACCATCATCTTTCACAAATGATGATGAAAATTGGTATATAATCATATATATTGTGACGCACTACTTGTAGTGAAATATATAATGGTCGAGGAGAAAGAGAAACCGACCGGCGGACAGCAAAATTCAACCGTACGGGTCACGGCGCGTTGTCGTTGCCGCGGGTACGTCTTTCCTCTCCGCCGGATCCTCTTGCCGACCACAGATGACAGATGCATGCATATCCATATGTTACCAACAACCGCCGGATCCACGGAGGAGATTTTGATCGATGACGCATGCAAGTTTCATTGCATTAAAAACTAAGAAAGAAAAGCTTAGCGAATCGTTACATAAGCGAATGCGATGCGAGCAGATATCGAGCACCGACTCCGACTCCAGAGTCTCCGAGCCCTGGCCTACCAGACCAACCATCAACCGCGCGTGTTGCCTACGCTGGGCAAACATGACCATCGGAATCATCAGGGTAGGACTCGACATGACCACCGTACAAAGTGTGTATGATAGACCAGCTGGCCACATCCATCGTGACGGCCAAACGAGTGAACCAGAGTGAAATATCGGACTCCATCGGCTTCAACGTTACTGTATTCTAGTACCATATGAAAGCATCTAGATCTCTAGTTGGGTTTCGGTGATTAATGACGATATAAGATTACTATGATTAACGTGTGTTTTGCAGAGACAATTTGAGTTGGGTCATGGTAATGGAAATTGATTGGGCAATCATAGTTGTCATGCCTCTGTCGATGAAAATCATTTCGGTTTTCAAAGGATGAGACGACAAAGTTAAGGACGGACTAGTTCTAAGTGTTGTTTGGTGTTGTAGAGACACTTAGAGTAGTTTAGGATCTTGTTTTTCCTTTGGCCGTACTATTAAGGGGGTATGAACTAGTAGTTTGACCTAAGTGAGTTTAGTGGGTTAGGTGTGGTGCACACTTGTCAAACCTAGCACTAGATAGCTCAGGAATAGCCTTAAGATCAATTGAGGTAAATTTCATTCATATAGGATTTTGAGTTGAAAGTGAATGGAGGGTCAAATAACTGACCGGACGCTGAAGGGTGAGTCCGGTCAGTTCATTTAATCAACTAAAGTCGTCTGATACTGACTAGACACTGAGTGAAGGTGGACCGGACGCTGGGTACCCGCGTCCGATCAACTTCAGAGAGGTTCCAGAGAGACTTTTTTCCTGACCGGACACGTCCGGCAGGTGCTGACTGGACGCTGGTCAGAATCCGGTAACTGACCGGATGCTGAACAGTGAAGTGATCGGACTCTGGTTGCCAGTGTCCGGTCAATATCAGTAAGGTTCCAAAGAGCGTTTTTCTTGACCGGACGCAGGTCAGAGTCCGGTCAGAGCTTAACGGCTCTTTCTGACACAGTGGCGGGTATAACTGACCGAAGCCTCCGATCACCCCATAGAGTGATGACTCAGCCTCCAAACGTTATGTTTTGAATGAGACGATTGACGACACGGAATTTTAGCCCCGTGCCGAGGGCACACGAGCAAGCCGGAAGGGTCCGCTCGATAGAGCTGGAGATCCACCTAGCTTCAGCGCAGGGATGGTCGATCCTGCGCACTCCTTGCGAGACGTGCCAGTCAATTTGATCCTACAATTGACAAGGAGAAAAAGTTTATCAGTAATTTAAGGCGGAACATGCCGGTGTTGCCAGACAGTCCCGAATTTGCGGCTCTAAGAGCCGATATGAAAGGAGATCGACTAAATAGTCGATTCCAGCATATTCATAAGAATAAATCGGTTAAACCTCATGGGGTTGTGTAAGAAGAATCGGTTATCGTTCAGGATGAATATCATTCTTTAGACAAATATTGGTCAATGGCAATAAGATATTAACAATAATTAGTTTATACTGAGCCAATGACTGCAAGTAACCGAACCCCTTTATAAAAGAAACAGTTCATCATCATTCAACCATTTAATAGAGATAAATCTAAAGAACATATTAGATCTCATCTATCGCTATGACCAGTAGGGCATGAGGCAGAATCATGCAGACCGTAGAAACAACAATAGACCCGACGACCCTAACTTATTACTAATATCAGTGGGGCATGAGGCAGAATCATGCAGGCCGTAATACAATAATAAGATCATAGGGCTAACACAACTTTCAACCTATCGCTACTTCAACGGTCTCGTGACATGAACTGTTCATGAAAGCACTCGATATCGGCTAAAACAGCCGATTCAGGCATAACGCACAGTTAAGATCATGCCCTCTCAGAAACAGATCTACCAAATAAGGATTCCCACTCCACGGTGCTAACAGTGGGGTGTGAGGCAGAATCACATATGCCGTGATAACGGGCCATGTAACGGTTTTCGCTAGCCAATAGATCTACTCAAGATCAGACACGTCTTAACCGCACGCTATGCACGATTAAGATTGATATAAAACAGCCAATAAAACATAACTTATCGTTTAAAATGCAGATTAGATCAAATTTAAATTAACAAACGATGGGTTAAACAAGATATAAGGCCGATCTAGATCAATCCTAATCGGGCGAAGTGATATTGCTATAATTAAATAAATAATAGAAGCAATAAGCAATATCGGTAACTTAATGAATCTATCCGAAGGAACGCCACCCTTAGATAGAGCCGATAACTTGACCTTAATCTAGTTCGAGCAGTGTAGGCCGACCGGATCGATGCAGCCTTATTTGAACTAGACAAGAGTCGATAACTAACTTATACCAGAGTCACAATGGATGTCGACCGGATCGATGCAGCCGTACGAACAGAGGTATAAGCCATGACGGTACTTACAGGCAAGCAGTGGAGGTCGACCGGATCGATACAACCGTATTTGCTGAAGAACTCGCCGAGATCTACTCTACTCCTACTCCTAAGGGGTGGCCAGAGCAAAAAAAAAGTAAGTAACTTGTATTTGATTGATTGTGTGTTTCTTTACAATAGCCGGGGTCCGATATTTATACCCGGAGTCTAAACATGAATTCTACTCGATCACGATTCGTTATAAAGGAAAACATTCCTAATTTAAGATAACTTGGACCCTAATCTTTTCTTTTTTGTAGAGTTCACTATGTAGTTTCCTAGCGCCAACCGTAGCTTATCATCGCTATCCGCTGACGTCATCCAAGAGATCCGATTCTAGAGTCGCATCCGAATCAGCTGATATCGATCTTCATGCAATCGATTCCTTGTTTGGCATAATCTTGGAAGTCTGTGAGTTCCCGCGTTCTTTTCCCAAATTTTGGTGTAAACAGCGGTATAAATACTTACTCCACTCGTCCAAGAGAGGTCTCTTGCCTATTTGTTCAGCTGAAAAACACCTTTGGACTGTAAGGGAGAGCAAGAGCCTAATGAGGTGATTGAGATTTGAGAATCCAAGATTAAGGACCTCATTAGTGCATAGAGAGTAGCAAGTGTGCATCCACCCTTCTCATTAGGCTTCTCTTGGTCAAGTGAGAGTTTGTGCTTATTACTCTTGGTGATCGCCATCACCTAGACGGCTCGGTGGTGATTGGGAGCTTGGTGATCATCCGACAGAGCTTGTGGATGACCCAAGTCAAGTTGTAAGCGGTTGTGGGCGATTCACCGCGACGGAGTGTTAAAGAATCAACCCGTAGAAAGCACTTGATCATTGCGCGGATCAAGGGGGAGCTACACCCTTGCGCGGGTACTCCAACGAGGACTAGTGGGGAGTAGCGACTCTCCGATACCTTGGAAAAACATCGTCGCGTTCCTTTTCCTCTCTTTACTTTGAGCATTTACATTTGAGCAATTTATTTCATGTCTTTACATTTCTAGAATTGCCATGCTAGAGTAGCATTGAAACCTAGGGTGTAAAACTTTTGTGCAGTAGAAAAATAGAAACACATTCTAGACACAAAGAGTAAAGTGGGCTAAGTATAGAGCCTAATTATTACAAAGAATTTAGAATTAGTCTAATTCATCCTTCGTAAACATATCGATCCTTTCACCGTCAAAAGGGAAACCTGCTGGCTAATGCTCCACCTTATATATCTAGGTACAAAGAGCTGCCACAGGCCAGCAAGCAGAGGCACCAGTAGTGCCAACAAAAGAGAACTATTCTTCAGCCAGAAAGAGAGAGAGGGCCTGAGGGCCGGAGGTGCTTTCGTTTATGGCTGGGGGAGCGAGAGACGGTGGTGGCGAGGAGGATGCCAAGACGACGACGAACGAGGGACGCGGCGGCGGCAGCGACCACGCAGCGGCCAGGGCCACGACGAATTCGAACAAGCAGCTGGTGCCGTTCCTTGGCATGTTCCGGTACGCCGACCGCACCGACGCCACGCTTATGGCGGTCGGCACGGTGGCGGCGGTGGCCAACGGCATGACGGAGCCGCTCATGACCGTCGTCTTCGCCGCCATCATCGAGTGCTTCGGCGCCGGCGACGACGCCACCATCCTCCACCGGGTCAGCAAGGTACGTTGTTACTACGTGCCTACGTGTGTGTACGTGTACAGGTTTAATCGGTTTTTGCTTGGTACGTATATATGTTTGTTCCATGCAAGCGCGCGGCGCACCAGCTAGCTACTACTAGTGACTAGTGATGGTGGGGATCGGCCAGGGCGCTCATCGGCTCATGGCGTGCGCGGTGGTTACCGACTTACCGGTGATGGGCGAGAGGCTGCCGTGGAACCGGCCCGGCGCTGAGCCGCTGACCCCGCCGTTATCTTTTTGTTCATAATTGCCCCGGCCGCGTAGGTACGAAGGTCCAGCAGTACTTGATATATGCACGCTCCATGTATGCAGCGCATGTGTGCATGTGCGTATATTTAATGGCGGTTCTCTAGTTAATTGGCATGATATATTGATAAAAACTACACATGTATGTCATCCAAGTATTATAGATTAGGAGCTTTCTTTCAATCGACAGTTATGGCATATATTTTATACTAAAATTGTAGCTTTACTTTGTTGTAATTTATGTAGGCATAATCTGTAATTTTTAATTACGAGAATAAAAAACATGTTAGACAAAACTACAAACTCGATCTATACTGGCATAAAAACAATTAACAATTTACAATTATTTCTATAGTTAGACAAGGACAAAAATTTGATATGTTATGATACAAAGACAAATAATAAATTATAAAAGTAACAATTTACTTATACTAGTTATTTGTACAGCAGTGCTTGCCTAAAATATAGGAGAAGTGCTATAGATTCAATAAGAGCAATTGTCTTCTCTCTCTAAAAAATCTCTCCACCATATTTCAAACCAAACTTATATATGTTAACCTACAGCAATCGAGTAAAAAAAACAGAGAAAATGAGGCAGGCACAACTGAAAGTCCTTTTCAAAAAAGCAGGCTTAGTGGGCCACATTATTCTTCCACCATACATTCAGTATGTTCGTTTGTTGGTTTCAGTCAGAGCTTATCAGCCAATCAACGATGTTTTCCTTTCACAACAAACCAGCATCAGTCGGGCTTATCAGCCCAAAAACAAACCAACAAACAGGTCGATGGTCTGAAAATCCCTCATCATATTCTTTTCACATGTTGATATATCGTCCCTTTCCTTGGTAGGTCATATTAATCAAACCGTCTGCAGTTACGTACGTCCAACACTAGTAGTACAACACAAGAGGTTACGACGTGCGATATATAGCTGACGGCGTTTCGGTTTGATGTCGGCTCACCAGAAAAATAAATCTACGGGTGATGATATCATATTCTGAACTCTATAAACAACGACGACGTTTCGACAAGTGCTAAGTGCTACCTCTTCCTCCTTTAGCCATTGTATATACAATTAATCCAGACATGCTATTTTCTGGAGCTGAGGGCGAGCCTACATGTGTAGTGGACATGTTTGGGCAGAGCAGCTAGAGCTAGAGATAACGTTATTGACCGATGTGTCGAAAGCCGTTGCGGATCTGGTTGTCGTAACTCGGGGCGCGTTGAGCCCCCGAGCGCTTGCTTGCGATGAGGTTGTCGTAGCCCCCAGGTCGTGAGTCGACGGGGACGCCCCGTCACCACTCGGAATAGTCGTAGCTGGCGTGGATCGGCTTCTCGGGCTGCCTCGGGCCGGTCCCTGCTGGCTTGACGTCCTCGAAGGACTCGTGAGCCCCCGGGGATGACTTCTTCGTGTCCGGCTTGCTGTAGCTTCTGGCCGAGAGCGCTTGTGCGTTCCTGAGCTCGAATCCTTCTGGCGCGACGACGTTGTTGCCGCCGCGTCTCCGCCTCTAGGTGTGGTTTCCGCTTTCGACCGGGAGCCGTCATGACCTGTCACTGTGGGAGCTGGCTTTGAGTGCATCGCGGTTCGATCTGCTTGTTGCGGCGCGCGGTGTGCTTGGGGGCCCCGCTTCCTCGGGTGCACGTGCATCCGAGCGACGACTGACAGTTTACGGAAACGTTTCGCGTGACTTGACCGTTACGCAGGATCGGACCTAGGCTCCGGGCCTGGCCTTGTGTGGCGTGGCGCCGGCCAGCCTCCCGATCGCCTGTGACATCGCCGTGCGGCGGCGGTTGATTCTGCAGCTCGTGCGCGCCTCGGCTCGTTGCGTCCCGTTGACGGTGGAGGCATTGTCCAAGGCGTGGTTCGACCGTCGAGTCCAGTCTCCCCACGTGGTGAGTCTGAACTAGGCATTAGCCGAAGACGGGCGTTGACCCGTCGGTTCGAGTGATCTTGTGATTCCCTAGAAGGATGTGGCCACCACGGGCCGTCCTCGGGTGAGCTTGCCATGAGCCACGGGCCTCAGGCTTCCAGGGTGGAAGTCTTGGTCGTGGCCGGTGATGAGAGAGGGCGCTAGTCCCCCTACGCAGGTGAACTCTGGGATGCAGCCCTCGTGGGGAGTTCCAAGAGTATGTCCGCCATGGGCCACGGGACACGTCTCTAGGGCGAGGGTCCGGGCCGCAACCGAAGGCGGAAGTGGGCGTTGGCCCTCGAAGGTGGTCAACCGCGTGGTTCCCCAAACGGATGTGGCCGGACGAGGCCATTCCCCGGGTGAGTTTGTTGCGAGCCGTGGACCTTTGGTTTCCTGGACAGGAGACCTAGCCGCGGCCGGCGATGACAGAGGGTACTGGCCCCTCTGGATAGGTGAACTCTGGGATGCAGCCCCCGAGGGAGTTCCAAGAGTGTGCCCGCTGTGGGCCGCATGATCCAGATTTCTAGGGTGGAGGTCTGAGCCGCGGCTGTAGGCGAACACGTGCGCTGGCCCTTTGACGGCGACGGGCTCGTAGTTTTTGTGGTGGATGTGGCCGTCGTTGGCCATTCCACGAGCGAGTCCACCGGCGGTGCGAGGAGCCATCGCTTCCTTCAACAATCGAGAGTGCGCGACTGTCCCCTACCTGGCGCGCCAACTGTCGGTGTTTTGTAAACCAGACCAGTAAACTTAATCGATTGTCACGCTATTCTAGGAAGACGATGGTAGCATCCAGTAGACACGAGGATTTATACTGGTTCAGGCCGAAGCCCTACGTCCAGTCTCAGAGATGATCGAGTGCGTGTTCCTCGCTTGAATGCTCTGAAGTTCTTATAATAGGGGGTGCGAGAATGGTGGAAGAGATGGAAGGTCCTATGCTAGGCAAAGGGTTGCCCGAAAGGAAGCTCCGGGAGCCCTACTACAATGGTGGATGAATGGAATGGTAGAGGATTCAGAATGTCTAGAGAGGATGCCCTGGCTGCCCTTATATAGAGTTCAGGGCCAGGGCGCATACAAAGCAGGAGGTTCTCCCGACTGAAGGGTCGAGAGCCTGAGGGAGGTCCTAGCTAACTTGGCATGCAAGCTACGCTATCTTCTGGTGCATGTTCGGTCATGGCTATCATCATGGTCTTCTGGCCGCGTTGCGACAGGGTGTGGCGTGGCGCTACTGTGCAACCATGGCGACATTGTAGCCTCGATGATGATTCGTCAGCCGTCCTATGCAACACGGTGTCCGTTGTGCCCTCCGTCATCGCTCCTGGTCCCCAGGGGCGCCGTACCCGAAGTAGGTAACCACCCCGGGCCGTCGTTCGCCTGGTGGCTTTACGGGACTGAGAACCATGACCCCGATCGTCGAGGTCAGGGTGCTCTGTCGGTCTGGATGGCCTCTTCATCGAGTCCCTTGTTATGGTGAATGGGATCGTACAAGCGTCTAGTTGGTTCGTATTTGGACAGTGGCTGTCGTACCCGTTGCCACCGTGGTGCGGTGTTGTCTCGTCGGTGCGGCATGGCATAGGGATGGGGTCTGACCGGGCCGAGGTGACTGTTGTCCCCTCGGTTCTTGCGGGGTCAGTGTGGCATGCTTGCTCTTGTCAGAGCAGGCGCGCCTAGCTGCGCTCGACCTCCCCCCATCCCTTCCGGGGGTCGTGACGGGGAAAGGTCGTGCGTTTTGCGAGTGTCGTGTGACTAAAGCAGGTGGAAGGGGTCAGAGATGACCCTGGCCTCATTTTGATTTTTCTAGATAATATACACTATGTTTATCACTACATACATAGTTCAAACAATGTATCTAGAAAAACTAAAACCATCTGATAACTTGAAACGAATGAAGTAGTAACAAAAAGAATTCATCTTTCGATTTTCAGGCTAGAAATCTCCTATAGGTCGTGGCGTGGGTTTCACTGGAATTTATAATTGTCGTTTTTAGTTCCAAAGTAGAACCAAACAGGCTGCTCAAACAACCCAATTCGAAGGCTGCTCAAACAACCCAATTCGAAAGATGCAGACGGGAAGAAACATAGGGATCTGAGCAAGGCCATCCAAGAGAGATTTATTAAGAAAATATATGTAGTTTAAAGTATAAGGTTTATTCTAACCGACGGCGCTTGCCCCACTCCGCTCCACGCGCCTCATTGTTTCACGGCTTCAAAAAAAAGAATAGCGCCACTCGCTTTCTCTATCGCAGGGGTGCCCGCCGCGGCCTTCTCTAGCGCGGCAGTGCCACACCTGGCCCCTTCCCACGCTGCTTTTGCGCGCCCGTGCCGCGCCACCATCCACCTACCCCGTCACAGAAGAGGAGGCAGGGGAGGCATGCGCCTGCGCCTACACCCCCATCTACCTCGCACCATCGGCGGGAAGGGGAGGCTTGCATGACTGCAATTCCCCACAAGGTAGGTCGTGGCCGCCGCCGACGCTATGTTTTGTTTCAGGTGTTTTCAGACATGGTGTAAGCCTATGTTTCAAGTGCTTCAGTTCCCAGCATACAGATGTTGCAAAAGTAGATCGGGATAATGCATATGTTGCAATGGTTGTACACGTATGTTGCAAACTTCTGTTCCCAATGTTTCATCAGTTTTTCAGACATATGCTGCAAGTGTGTTTATCTGGATGTTGCATATGTTTCACATATATGTTGCAAGTGTTTTATCTAGATGTTGTATATGTTTACAATGGTTTCAAGTGTTTTTACCAATGTATCAGACGCATGTTTCAAGTGTTTAATCTATCTCTTTTGTATGTTGTAAGTGTTGCATTTGAACGTTTTCAAAACTAGATTGGGGTGTTGCACATGAGATGTGTGTAGAAAGCGGGAGAGGGCACGAGCGATCCCGCGCACGCGGTCTGGTGGCACGGGCCCGCTGCTGGGGCGCTCGCTTGCTCGCTGCGCGAGCAGCATCCGACACTAGCGCCCCGGAGGCGCTAGCAAGTCCATATACAAAAATCATCCAATATATATAACTGCTGCATAAATTTAGGAATAATATATAGTTGGAATGGAAATACAGCTTCCTTTGTTTCTGTTTGTTTGTTTTGCACCGAACATGCACAAAAGCTTCTTTTTGTGTGTGTGTTGAGGCAAGTCCCACACTCCACAGACTCACTCTATTATTACTGATTATGGCAACTAAACACTACACAAGTATGTGCCCATCTCCTTAAGTATCAAACAAGCCCGCACTATTTGAATTTTCTTTTTTGAAGCTTCACTATTTGAAATGTAATACATAACAAGGTGCTTTTCTCCAGGTTATCATGTACTACATCTACCTGGGAATCGGAACAGCAGTTTCTTCCTTCCTCCGTGAGTATATAAATAAATATATACTATATATATTGGACTTGGACTACACGTGCACGTAACTATAATGAATAAATGATGTCCAATAGCTAAAGAATAGGAATTGAAATAGCTGGCGTTCCTGATGAGTCACATATATATGGTAGTAAAACCTCAAACAAAGAAAACGGCATGTTTCGTTATGGTAGCCCATTCACAAATATCCCACGAGCACAAAATGGTCACTGCCAAGTGGCACCAATGGAATGCTTGGCTATTCCCACTGTCACAACTTGAAGTATTTGCTAAGGTTCCGATATTTTTCAGTTATTCACATTAGTATCAAAACATAGACACTACAACTTCGATGGTTTCAAGCATGAAAAGATGGCAAGGGGTTTGCTACAATCAGAAACAAACAAACTGTGGCTAATTCAGCTTACTTCTTCAACCAGGAAGAGAATGAACTTTGTAGCAGCTAAAAATGAGAACTCTGTTTAGTTGGATTAGCAGAATCCCAAACGATTGGCTGAAACATTTACCTGATCCAGAGGTGTCATGCTGGACGGTGGCTGGAGAAAGGCAGTCAACACGGCTGCGATCGTTATACCTTGAAGCTGTTCTGAGGCAAGACATTGCATTCTTTGATGTGGAGATGACAACTGCAGAAGCAACTTCAAGAATGTCCGCGGACACTGTACTCATCCAAGACGCCCTCGGTGAGAAGGTAACAATTCATTATTACTTTGACAAAAGAAGCAAAAAGTATGTCTAATTTCCAGTAAAGGGTCTTTTATGTCTAGAACATAAGGAAAAAGGCCTTATGTAGAACACTAAAGAACTGACTTCTCATGTTAAGGTAGGGAAGTACATACAGCTTTTGACGACTTTCATCAGTGGCTTTATCATTGGATTCATTAGAGGCTGGATGCTGGCCCTTGTTGTGCTCGCGTGCATACCTCCAAGCATTTTATCCTTTGCGACAGTCTCCCGATTGCGAGCTCAAATATCTCGAAAGAGGCAAGAATCATATGATGATGCAGGGAATATTGTCGAGCAAACCATTGGAGCAATAAGAACAGTGGGTGATTCTAATATTTTTTAAATACAAATTAATGCTGACAATAGGTGTTTGCAACTATTCAATATCAATAACATCTCAAAAACAGGTTGTATCTTTCAATGGTGAGAAGAAAGCAATTGCAATGTACAATAATCACATAAAAAAGGCATACAAGGCTACTCTCATGGAAGGGATCATCACTGGTCTTGGAGTAGGTTGCATATTTTTTGTTGTCTTCTGCAATTACTCTCTAGCTTTCTGGTATGGCGCCAAGTTAATCATCGGCAAAGGATATACTGGAGGGCAAGTCCTCAATATCGTATTTGCAATTTTAACTGGCTCAGTGTGAGTTTTCTAACTGTGAACTACATATGTAATAAATGATAGAAAAAGTACTGTTAGACTCTTTGATTGAAAATGAATTGATATTTGAAAAAAATAACATAATCATTTTTGGATTTTGACATTAAGGTTTGATTATTTGGGAACAGGGCTATAGGTAATGCATCACCATCTATTTCTGCAATTGCAGAAGGGCAGTCTGCAGCACAAAGATTGTTTGAAATTATCAACAGAAAACCAAATATTGACATTACCGACACTTCTGGAATAGTATTAGAAGATATCGAAGGAGATGTTGAGCTCAAGGATGTGTTCTTTAGGTACCCTGCAAGGCCTGAGCAGTTGATACTTGATGGCCTGTGCCTGCAAGTACCTAATGGTACCACAATGGCTATAGTCGGGGAGAGTGGAAGTGGTAAATCAACAGTGATTAGTGTGGTGGAGAGATTTTATGACCCACAGGCTGGTGAAGTGTTGGTAGATGGAGTGAACATCAAAAGTCTGCAGCTCCAATGGTTAAGAGGAAAGATAAGTCTTGTCAGCCAAGAACCATTGCTTTTTATGACCTCCATCAAGGATAACATAACCTATGGTAAAGCGGATGCTACAATCGAAGAGATCAAGAGAGCAGCTGAGCTTGCAAATGCAGCAACCTTCATTGAAAAGCTGCCTGATGTACTTTGAGAAACACTACTTATTTATGTATCTTACTCAAGTTTCTGGCAATTAATATCTTGTCTTCCACCTCATACAGGCATACGAGACAATGGTTGGTCAACGTGGTTCTCAGCTTTCTGGGGGGCAAAAGCAAAGGATTGCCATCGCAAGAGCAATCCTCAAAAATCCAAAAATCCTTCTTTTGGACGAAGCTACAAGTGCTTTAGATGTAGAGTCTGAAAGGGTAGTTCAAGAAGCACTAAATAGGATCATGGTAGGGAGAACTACACTCATTGTTGCCCACCGCCTGAGCACCATCAGGAGTGCAGACTGCATAGCAGTAGTTCATCAAGGGAAAGTAGTTGAACGAGGTAAGTGACTCTTCGACACCAGTTACTTTGGTTTTTTTAATCTTTGTTTAGAAGCAATCAATCAGTGTGAAAAAGTAGAGGTAGTTCAATTCAGTTTTTTGGAACCAGTTAATCAATTGACATGTCATACAGGTGTCCATGACAAGCTGATTAAGGATCCTGATGGAGCTTATTCTCAGCTTATTAGGTTACAACAGGCACATGCTAAAGAAGGGCATGAGGTTCCAAATACTGATGTGTCAGGTTCAATATATAAAAGTAGAAGTTTATCTTTGGAACAATCAATAGACAGAGATTCTCCCAGGAACAAAGGACATCATTCCTCCACAAAATCCACTGGGCTGTCTGAAGAATTGAACAAGCAAGTTTCTATAGACAGACAGGAACACCAGGAATCTAGTGATAGTAAGGCTCCTAAGAAAGCATCAATTGGACGACTATTCAAACTTAATAAGCCAGAAGCACCAGTTCTCCTATTAGCTGCTATAGCTGCCTTTGTGCATGGTCTTATGTTCCCATCGTTCAGTATAATGATGTCTGGTGGTATAAGAAGTTTCTACTATCCACCACACCAACTTCGAAAAGATTCTCGGTTTTGGGCACTGATGTGCCTTCTGTTCGCAGTCATTGCCCTGATTTCAATCCAACTGGAATACTTTCTATTTGGGGTCGCTGGTGGGAAACTTATACAACGTGTCCGCTCTTTGTCTTTCCAGAGCATAGTGCATCAAGAAGTTGCTTGGTTTGATGACCCTTCAAATTCTAGGTTTGGCTACTTAAACATTTTTTTTCCAAATTTCTTAATTTTTTCTACAACTGTTTGGACATCAAGTTTACTGTTTCATTTTATAGTGGGGCACTTGGCGCGAGACTCTATATTGATGCTTTGAACATCCGACGCCTCGTCGGAGATAACTTGGCCATACTAGTGCAGTGTATAGTAACACTAGTAGCTGGTTTTTCCATAGCATTTGCTTCTGACTGGAAGCTCACGCTGATCGTCATGTGTGTGATTCCTGTAATGGGCTCACAAAATTATATTCAAGTGAAATTCTTGAAAGGGTTCAGTGAAGATGCTAAGGTGAAAATATTGAATTTCCTGCAGTGAACCTAATCGTCTTTATGTTTAAAAAAGCAAAGCACACCTGATACTTTTCAAAATAGATGAATATGGCCCCGTTCGCTTGTCTTAAAAATGGCTTGTTCGACTTCTTTTTTCAGCCGGAACAGTGTTTTTCTCTCACAACAATTCAGCCGGAACAGTGTTTTTCAGCCAGTTTCAGCCAAATTTCAGACCAGCGAATGGGGCCTATGTGCAATCTTTTTAGACATCATACAGTTTTTCATATAATATTAATAACTCTAGATATATTTTAAAGTTTACAGTTAACAAAACTTAAGTAAGATTTAATGTCTTATCAAAAGTTTCACCTAACAACTAATTGGAACAGGTGATGTATGAAGATGCAAGTCAAGTCGTAACTGAGGCAATTAGTAGTATTCGAACTGTAGCATCTTTCTGTGCAGAGAAGAGGGTAATTACATCATACATCCAAAAATGCCAAGCTTCAATGAAACAGGGCATTAGAAGTGGAATGGTTGGAGGCCTTGGTTTCAGTTTCTCAAACTTAATGATGTATCTCACATATGCTCTTTGTTTCTATGTTGGTGCACTGTTCGTACATGAAGGAAAATCAACTTTTAAAGACGTTTTTAGGGTAAGGGATACACATTTGGGATCATTTAAATAACGACATTTTGTTCAGTGACTGACTAACTTAATCTGGTAACTGGCAGGTCTATTTTGCTTTGATTTTCACAGCTTTTGGAATTTCCCAAACAAGTGCAATGGCAACAGATTCAACAAAAGCCCAGGAATCCACAACTTCCATGCTAGCTATTATAGACAGGAGGTCTAAAATCAACTCGACTAGTGATGAAGGCATAATTCTAGAAAAAGTTGATGGCAACATAGATTTCAGCCATGTAAGCTTCAAATACCCATCCCGCCCAGACGTCCAAGTGCTCAGCGACATTACTTTGGCCATTCCAGCCAGAAAGGTATTGTTTGCTTGATGCTTGTCATAGTTACTTCATAAGTTGTTTGACTAGAGGGGGTAGTTAGCTATTCATTGATCATTGAAAGAAATAGGGGATGGGAACTGGGGTCGTTGATCTTGCTAGGTTAGTACCAAGTTAGACCATGCGAGACACTTCACAGTTCACAAAAGCGTCATGGCAATTCTTGAGCAGCTTAATTTCAACAACAGTATAAATGTATAATAGGAAAATATCAGATATTGGCTACAAATACAATAACTGTTTGCTACTTTGCTCAGGTAATGAGTGTTCAATTCATCTTAATCCTTAAGATAAGTTTCACAAAAGTTGTGTACAGGTGGTACAAAATTCATTTACAACAACAACAACAAAGCCTTTAAGTCCCAAACAAGCATTTACAAAATTCATTTAGCACTCTGCAAAATTTCAAGGTCAAACTCCAATTTCACAAGGAGTACAAAAGGCAGGCAATATGAGATGAAAGTAACAAAAAAGATTTACTATGAATTAAGGGTTTTTTCCATGCTCTTCTATCTCTTTAGAATGCTCGATTGCCCGCAATACCTGCTTCTTACTCTTTGAATTTATTTTATTGATGTACATGTCATTCAATGGGACAAGAACAACTGGAGTGCTGGATACTTCAATGAAAATGAGCCTAAAAAAGAATGGAAATTAATTCTAGTTTTCACATTTTCCTCTATGATCTGTACTGATGAATTTAAAATCAATTATCATATGCAGACTGTTGCACTTGTTGGAGAGAGTGGTAGTGGTAAGTCAACAATAATTGCTTTGCTCGAGCGATTCTATGACCCAGATTCTGGCACAATCTCACTAGATGGAACAGAACTTAAAAAACTAAAGCTGAGTTGGTTAAGAGACCAAATGGGGTTAGTGAGCCAAGAACCTGTACTTTTCAACGACACAATTCATGCCAACATAGCATATGGAAAACAAGAAGTAAGAGAGGCCGAGATTGTTGCTGCTGCCAAGGCAGCTAATGCTCATGAGTTCATATCTAGCTTGCCTCAAGGATATAGCACTATTGTCGGCGAGAGAGGAACACAGCTCTCAGGAGGGCAAAAACAACGGGTTGCTATTGCAAGGGCCATCTTGAAGGACCCAAGAATACTTCTACTCGATGAGGCAACAAGTGCCCTGGATGCTGAAGCTGAGCGTACTGTTCAAGATGCGTTAGACCAAGTGATGGTCAGCAGGACCACCATTGTTGTGGCGCACCGACTGTCCACAATCAAAGGGGCAGATATGATTGTAGTCATCAAAGATGGTAAAGTTGCTGAGAAGGGAAAGCATGAATACCTCGTGGGCAAGGGTGGAGTTTATGCATCGCTGGTAGAACTGCACTCGAAGTCAGCATAAGGATATAGGGGGCTTTGATGGATTATTTGGTATTACAAGGGGAGCATTTGCAGTAGTAGGTAATCATGCAACGGAAACAAATCCATGTAAAACTTATCAATTCGTACTTCTGGTTTGTTATAGGTCAGGGTCTCAAACTCCATACAAAGATAGCATTGGCATCACGTATTTCATATGCTGTAGTGCACTGGATTATCAATAAATTAATGGTGAAAAGGAAAACAAATCGACCTAATCACTGAACTATTAATATTTAGTCGACGAGCAGAAGCATTTCTGCTATTCCAGATCCCCAAATTCACGCGAGGCGCCTGAGCATATGACTACATGCCAAGTGCACTACAGCTTTGCACGCATTGGAAAGAATAAGTTCGGATCAAATGACGCTACCCGTCAGCGAATTTGTTCAAACCAAAAATTCAGGTCCAGAACTTAAACCGGCATACCTTTCGTGCACCGAGGTCCCATTTTGGTCGTCATGATCCAACCGACGCTAGCCTAGATGGGACGGCCGTACGCCCGCTGGCGCGGCCGCCATACCTGGCCGCTGGCTTCAGGGAGCCGCCTCGCTTCCTTTCCCCTCCCCACCAGCGAAGACACAACCGCCGCCGCCGTTCCATAGCGACGGCGCCGCGTGCCTTTCCCATTCTACCGTCCGAAAACAAAATCAACGGCTTATGTTACCTGGTCCCATCTTTCGCTTGGCGGGTTACGGTCCAGAGGAGGCCCAAATGGCCGAACAAAGCGCAAAGGGGCAGGCGCGGCCGAACGCCTGAGCGACTGAACGGGGCAACGGGGTGAGCAGGCACGGTCGCACGAGCTGACGAGCGGCGGCAGTGCGGCACGGAGGGTCGGAGGCAGGGAGCTGTCGCCGGCCTACGGCGCTGCGCTGTGCTACATGCGGCATGCCTGCACAGCAGAGGGCAGAGGCGCATGGATGCTCCTGGATTGGACAGGCTAACAGTAACAGGCAAGCATCACCGTCCCGTCCAAGTTATAATCTAGGTGTGTGATAATTAAATATTTGGATGCTTTTGCAATTGCGTCATTAATTATTGGTTTGGTTAAATTGAGCATAAAGTGCTGCCAGTCTGCTACTCAAGGAACATCACCTATTTGCTTGCTAATAGTTATGGTGATCGGTGACTGATGCCAGGCGCCTAGGCGTAGTATGGCCTGTGCCATCACAGTTCCTGCCTTTCATGTGTTCGACGAAATGCGTCTCCGGCGAAGCGAGTAGTTGCATCCTCTCCTTGGATTTGAAAATTGTCTACACTATATATGCATCCTTTTTCTATCTAGTTAATTACTAATTTGAGTAGTCTTGATTGCTTTAGAGTCTTATATTTTTTCCACTGAAAATATGGAATGAAAATGAAATTTGGACCATGTCATATATAGTTGTTCGTTGCATATATACATGTTGCTGTTTGTTACTACAGTTGAAAACCATGTTTAACTTTAGGGGCACAGATACTGACTTTCGTATTATCGAAAGCACAGCTTCATGTTTTCACCATGGTTTGAACTTGAGGCCCCCCTAGACATTTATCCTGGATCCGCCATTGCTCACTAGCAATGCGCTTTTGCATTTGAGTTCAATAGAGAATATATACTGTTGAGGCTTGTTTTTATATTTTTATATGGTTTATTATTCACTTAGTGACGCATTTGAATATGGTCCCTTCACTTACCACATAATTTTAGTTTTGACTTCTAAAATTAAGAACAATTGAATTCTGACCAAATAGTACTTGGATAAATGCACAAACGATATAAAGATACATCATTCAATTCAGATTTCGAGCGGAGCTCTACTAGGGAAGCATAGGCTCCACCGTTGATGCGCATCAGGGCTTCATGTCTTCCTTTCTCTACAATCTTGCCTTCCTTGAGGACAGCAATCATATCAGCCCCTTTGATCGTGGAGAGGCGGTGTGCCACCACAATGGTGGTACGGCTGACCATGACTCAGTCCAATGCGTCTTCAACAATGCGCTCTGATTCAGCATCAAGGGCACTGGTTGCCTCATCAAGGAATAGTATCTTTGGATCCTTGATTATGGCCCTTGCAATAGCTACTCATTGTTTCTGCCCACCAGATAGCTGAATTCCTTTCTCGCCTACCATGGTGTCATATCCTTGAGGTAAGCTTGATATGAATTCATGGGCATTGGCTGCCTTGGCTACAGCCATAACCTCTTCCTCTATTACATCACCATGTTTCCCATATGTTATGTTGGCACGAATTGTGTCATTGAAAAGCACTGGCTCCTGGCCTACCAGCCCCATTTGATCCCTTAGCCAGCTTATTTTTAAGCTCTTAATTTCAACGCCATCTAGTGATATTCTACCAGAATCTGGATCATAGAAACGCTCCAGTAAAGCAATTATTGTGGACTTGCCACTACCACTCTCTCCAACAAGTGCCACTGTCTGCAAAAGGGATGAAAATATTGCATCACAACTGTTCCAGAGCTTGGCAAATGTCAGATGTGAAATAAACAAGCTGAATGTTGCAATGTTATGTTGGTACATTGCATACAGTCATTTGGGGCAATGCTACTGCAAGACAATGAACAAAAGATGGTAAATGTTTGCAAGGTTAATTGTACCTTTCCAGAAGGAATGCGCAAGGTAAAGTCACTGAATATCTGGACATCAGGACGCGATGGGTACTTGAAACTGACATTGTTGAAATCAATGTTGCCAGTGACATTCTCCAGTGTCATCCCATCATCGCTACTTGAGTCAATTTTTGACTCCCTATCCAGAATACTGAAAATGGAAATAGCAGAATCCCTTGCTTTTGTTGCATCAGAAGCCAGTGCACTTGCCTGCGAAACCCCAATAGCTGCCAAAACTAATGCGAAGAAAACCTGGAAAACATCCAACCAGTTAGTGAATTCTTTATAAGGTAATATGGGTGCACTAAATGGTAACTAGAAACTACTAGTAGGTAACTAGGTATCTTACCTTAAAAACATCTGGAAAAGTAGTTTTCCCTTGACGTACAAACTGTGCACCAACATAGAAACAAAGACCATATGTGAAATACAACATTAAAAATGAGAATCCATAACCAAGTCCTCCAACAATTCCACTTCGAATTCCCTGTTTTCTTAGAGCTTCACATTTCTCATTGTATGTTGCGACCACTCTTTTCTCTGCACAGAATAATGCTACAGTTCTGATACTGCCAACAGCATCGGTTGCAACTTGGCTTGCATCTTCGTACATCTCCTGCATAGTAAGATCACATTATCATGATCAGCAACTCGGGTATCATTAGGAAATATTTTCTTCAGTAAAATAGGAAATAAATTTTACAGTTGCCATGCATCACCTTAGCATCTTCGCTAAACCCCTTCAAGAACTTCACTTGAGCATAGCCCTGTGCGCCTACCAAAGGAATCACACATGTGATGATCAGTGCAAGCCTCCAATCTGCCGCAAAGGCTGATGAGTACAGGCCCGATCTTCCGAGAGGTAGCCGGTAAGTTCGATTTGTGGAGATCTCGACATTGGCGATCCGGCTTCAAATCAGACACGATTCGAACCCTGCAACCGTTACACCACTGCTCCGTTGGTTATCAACCAAGCACAACTTGATTGACCTCACCAAGAAGGCTTTTCCTGCAAGCGAATCGAAGAGCACAAGCAAGAAGGTAAAACACGCAATCTGATATTGCAAATATAAATGATGCGAATATCAATAGAGGGTTCTAGAACTCGGTTCCAAAGGACTAATCGACACAGTGGAGGAGATCAGGAACGGGGGCCCTGGATCACTGTAAAAGGATTTGTCACCACAGTTACAATGAACGATTCAGTTTCTCGATGGAAAACTAAACTCTAAACAAAACCCAATTGTGTAGCAGCGGCGACGGCTGTGTTTATAGTCTAAGACTCGACCTAGGGTTGGGGACGGCCAGGGGTTGGGCGCCCACAACTTGGGCTTAAGGCCCGACACGATACATGGCCAAGTTGGCCCAAATAGGTGACGCAGCACCTTGCCGTGGTCACACAGAATGATCCACGGACCTTCTGGAGCTGGGACCAGATCCAAAACGACGGCGGCGGCGTCCCCTTTCCAACGCATCCAAGAACGGCCCGTTTCGATGTCGTATGAGAAAGTTATGACCGAAACAGTGACGACGTGTCTGCTGAATCCGAGGACGACGTGGCAGCTGAGTTGGGAACGAATTGCAACTTGGGGAAGACCATGGCGTCGGTGTGTCCAGCATGGCGATGTCCTCATCAAAGGCTATGACAAATCCAGTTGTCAATGTAGCTATAGACTGCATTATAAGTGCCAAGTTATCTCCTGCTAAGCGCCGGACATTTAACGCATCAACCGAGAGCCTTGTACCAAGTGCTCCACTGCAAACGATAAATATGACTCTTAGTATTCATTTAAATCTATATATATGTTTATTAGAAAATATATAATAACAAATAAGAACTCTTATCGTACCTGGAATTTGAGGCATTATCAAACCAAGCAATTTCCTGGCGCACAATGCTTTGAAATGACAAAGCATGAATACGTTCTATCAACTTGTCCCCGGCAACCGCAAACAAAAAGTATTGTGCTGGGACTGAAATCAAACATGTAATGCCCAGAACAACAGATATCAGTGCTCAAAAGCTAGTATCCTTTCTCATTTTATGTGGTGGTTCATAAAATGATTTTATAATACCAGACATTAGTATACCAAACAATGGGAAAACGACACCATGCACTGATGCTGCTATAGAGCCTAACAGAAGAACTGGCACTTCTGGCATGTTAAGCTTAAAAAGTCGTCCAATTGGTGCTTTCTTTAGCACAACATCAGAGTGCCCTTCTGTTTTCTCTCCGCCTATGATCCTATTCTCATGTAACTCAACTGATAATCCTAAGGGATTCTTGAAGGAATATCTGTTGCTGTTACCAAAAGAATCTTTATTCATTGACCGTCTAAGTGATAAACTGGTGCTTTTTGATCTGGAATCTTGCACCCCAGAGTCTGCTGGTTTACGCCTTTCATCAGCACGAGTTTCTTGTAGCCTAATAAGCTGAGAGTATGCCCCATTGGGATCCTTCACCAATACATCATGAAGGCCTGTATATAAAATTTATGTTTGTAGCATAAATTGGATTACAGCAGCTTGACAAGGGAAATATTCCAGAAAGAAGAAAAAAAAGAGATATAAGAGATTCAGACCTTGTTCAACTATTTTCCCTTGACGAAGTACTGTTATGCAGTCAACATTCCTTACGGTGCTCAAACGATGAGCAACAACAAGCGTGGTCCTTTCCACCATTATCCTATTCAGTGCCTCCTGAACTATCCGCTCAGATTCCACATCCAATGCACTTGTTGCTTCATCGAGCAAAAGTATTTTAGGATCTTTAAGGATGGCTCTTGCGATTGCAATTCTTTGCTTTTGTCCTCCAGAAAGCTGTGCGCCACGCGGTCCAACCATTGTATCATAGCCCTGGTTTGTCAAGAAAATGTTGTTAGCTCCTTATCAGCATAAAGTGTCAAGAAATTATTGGAAATATTCAAAAAAGATTCTTCCATACATCCGGCAACTTATCGATGAAGTTTGCTGCATTTGCAAGCTCAGCTGCCCTCTTGACCTCTTCAATTGTCGCGTCTCCTTTACCATAGATTATGTTATCTTTAATCGAGGTCATGAAGAGCAGTGGTTCTTGACTGACCAGACTGATCTTCTCTCTAATCCAGCTAAGCCTTAGATTCTTGATGTTAATGCCATCTATCAAAACTTCACCATCACGTGGATCATAGAATCGTTCAACTAGGCTGATGACAGTTTATTTGCCACTTCCACTCTCTCCAACTATGGCCATTGTGGTCCCACTGGCTACTTGCAATGATAATCCATGTAATATCAGTTGATCAGGTCTTGCAGGGTAGCGAAAGTGAACATCTTTTAGTTCAACATCACCCTTCATATCTTCTAAAACGACACCACTAGTATCACCTGAATCTATATCTGGCTTCCTCTCAATCGTTTCAAACAATCTGTACGCTGCAGATTGACCCTGAGCAATTGAAGAAACAGAGGGTGTTGCACTACCTAAAGACCTGTTGCAAAGAATTGAATTGTAGCATGTTCAGGACACTTGTGTACGATATGCGATAAAGTTAAATTTATTTGTTTCTCAATATGAAGTAATAGTTGGATAAGTACTGCACGCCCTGCATGTATGCGCTTTGTTGAGGAATCTAGGTGGATATCATGAAGGTAGAGTTGTGCAGATAGAATTAAGTACAACTGTACAAGTACAGAGTGCTCAAACTGTGCATTTTCGTGTTTCAAATGTTTTTCAGAAACTCACATTGCACCAGTTAACACAGCGAACAAAACTGTGATGATCTTCCCACCAGTATAGCCTTTGTCAGCGATTAGCTTTCCGCCATACCAGAAAGCTAAGCCATAGCTAGAGAACAAGATGCAAAACACAGATCCCATGCCAAAACCATTGATCAGGCCTTCCAAAATATCAGTCCTGTATGCCTTCTTTATTAAGTTTTTGTGCATTGCAACGGCTTTGTTCTCTCCGTTAAAGGAAACTACCTGCATATTGAAACGAGATAGCTTACTAACTCATTAGCTTGTAATCCGATAGTATGTTCAACAGTGTCCCCAGCATCTCCATAAGATGTCAGTTTCTTGCTAGAAATATTTGTTAGAAACTGAGGAGAAACTACACCGGCAATTGCAATTAGTGGTAGTTGTTAGACATAATCTGCTGCTCTCCATTCTCTCCTTGGTTGGAGACTAGTCGGCTCGGGCGACCACTCCCTGTTGGGAGTTGGGGACTGATCGGCTCTGCCGAACAGTTTCTGTAGCTGTAGCAGTATTACAATAGGCCACCTCTAGTACATTAGTTGGTAGTTATTGCATCAAGCATGTCTTGGTAGTGGGCTGAGGTAAGCTTTGTACTGCTAGAAGTAGTTAGTATACTCTGTACCTTAGGAGTAGGTAATTGGTATACCCTGTACCTTAGGAGTAGGTAGTTGGTGTACTCTTGTACTCAGGAGTAGGTAGTTGGCCAACAACTATGTACCTGGTAGAGGTACAGCTAGAGTTGTATATATTCCATCCAAAGAGCAATGAAATACTTAGTTCAGTTGCCACAAACCAAAAGGCGGGGCTTCGGCCAACGCTGGTGCTTGTGCTGAGTGTGTGTGTGTGCGCTGTTCTCAATCTCTTCTTTTACCTCTAGCCATAGTTAGTGAGTGTGTGTGCTGGTAAGCTAGTTGCTTACCTATGCAGGGCAGTCAGGGATCAACAAGTGGTATCAGAGCCGTACAAGCGCCGTCGTCGGACTAACCGTTGGCGATGACGGACGGTTTGGAGATAGGCGACAGCAGCGGCACTGCTGTGGCTGCCCAGCCACGACAGGAGGTCATTGTGCGCACGGTGTGGGAGGTCAGCGGCACCAGTTGGCCGACGCTGACTCGCACCAACTATGGCGAATGGGCGGTGACCATGAAGGTCAAGCTCGCAGCCCGACGGCTCTGGAATGCCATTGACAAGGGCACCGACAACGAAGAAGACGACATGTCAGCGTTGGAAGCCATCCTCGCTGCTGTGCCAGCGGAGAACAGGGAGCCGTTGGGGGTGAAGAGCTCTGCTAAGGAGGCATGGGAGGCCATTGCGGCGATGCGCGTTGGTTCCGACCGTGCAAAGAAGGCGACGGCCTAGCTGCTGAAGCAGGAGTAGGCCAACCTCAAGTTCAAGGATGGTGAATCGGTGGAGGATTTCTCCCTCCGCCTGCAAACGCTCATCAGCAAGCTGAGGAGCCACGGCGTCACCATGGACGAAGAAGAGGCGGTCTCCAAGTACCTCCACTCCGTGCCGGCGAAGTATATCCAGATTGCTCTCTCCATAGATACAATGCTGGACTTGTCTACCCTCACCATTGAGGATGTGACAGGTTGTCTACGGACGGTGGACGAGCGCATGGAGCAGGCCACAGCAACCACGGACAGCGGCAAGCTGCTGCTGACAGAAGGAGTGGACTGCCCGGATGAAGGAGAAGAAGTCCGGGGAAGCCTCTTCCAGCCGCGGTGGTGATGGCAAACGCCGCGGCAAGGCTTCTTTGGAGAAGAAGAAGAAGAAGAAGGTCGACCCCAACGCCTGTCGACGCTGTGGGAAGACGGGCCATTGGGCAAAGGAGTGCCCAAATCGCAAGCAGGAGAAGAAGGCTGAGGCTCATCTGGCGCGGGCTGATGATGATGATGAGGCCACTCTCCTGATGGCGACGTTCTGTACACTGCACGACGTTGAGGCCAAGGAGAAGGGAGAGGGGATGGCGGTGAAAGGGCATGGGAAGGCTCTGAAGGCTGTCAACCTCGACGAACCGCGTGCCCAAGTCCACCTCGGACGTGTGGGCGGTGAGCAGGAGCAGCGGTGGTATCTGGACTCCGGCGCCAGCAACCACACATGACGGGCTCCAAGGCAGCCTTCTCCGAGCTCGACGACGACGTGACTGACACGGTGAAGTTCGGTGACGGCTCAAGGGTGGCGATCCGAGGACGCGGCACCATCATCTTCAGGTGCCAGAACGGCGAGCACCGCGCACTAACGGATGTATATTACATCCCGCAGCTGTGTTCAAGCATCATCAGCATTGGCCAGCTGGATGAGCGCGGCAGCGAGGTACTGATCTAGGACGGCGTCCTCAGGATCAGGGACCGGGAGCAGCGGCTTCTTGCCAAGGTGAAGAGGTCCCGGAATCGGCTGTACCTGCTCGACCTCAAGGTGGAGCAGCCCATCTGCTTGGCTGCACGGCACACGGAGGAATCGTGGCTGTGGCATGCCCGGTATGGACATCTCAGCTTCGACGCTCTTGGTCGGCTGGAAAAGATGGTGACTGGGCTGCCTCACATCGAGCACGCAGGCGAGCTATGTGATAGCTACCTGGCCGGGAAGCAAAGAAGGTTGTTGTTCTCGAAGACGGCGAAGTACCACGTGGCAGAGACCCTCGAGCTGGTCCATGGTGACCTCTGTGGGTCGATCACGCCGGCGACGTCCGGCGGGCGCAAGTACTTCATCTTGCTGGTGGATGACTGTAGCCGGTACATGTGGCTGCAGCTTCTGACCAGCAAGACCGAGGCGGCGGAAGCGGTCAAGAAGTTCAAGGCGCGCGCGGAGGCGGAGAGCGGCAAGAAGGGCATAGTGCGCGGATTAGGGTGATCTCTAGGGATGTGGTGTTCGATGAGAAGGCGGCTTGGGACTGAGACAGTTCGGGCATGGGGGAAGCTGGCGGATTCACCAGCACCTTCGTCGTCGAGCGCATAGTCATCCACGGTGGTGGAGACGCTGGAGAGGAGGTGCCGACCACTCCAGCAACAGAGCCGAACACTCCTAGGGCAGTGCCTAGTACTTCGGGAGGAGTGCCGAGCACTGCAGAGGGGGTGCCGAGCACTTCAGCAGCAGTGCAGAGCGCTCCAGCAGTAGAGTTGACCACTCCAGGAGTGGTGTCGACCGCTCTAGCAGTGGATCCGACCACTCCGGCAATGGTGCCGAGCGGTCCAGCAGCGATGCCGACCACTCCGGCAGTGGTACCGAGCAGTCCAGCAGCGATGCCGACCACTCCGGCAGAACAGGGAAGCTGGGGACCACCAATCGAGCTCACCTCCCCTCCTAGCGACATCAGCGAGTTCGTGGATGCCTTCCACGACGGCGAGGAGGTCCGGTTCCGCAGGCTGGACAACAACGTCGGCAATGCAGGGGCCACAAGCCTAGCGAGTCGGCTGCTCGACGATCCAGAGCTGCTCCTTGTTAGTGCCGAAGAGCCACGGACGTTCGCAGTGCCTGAACGCGACGCCAATTGGCGATGGGCTATGTTGGAAGAGATGAAGGCCATCCAAGACAATGGCACATGGGAGCTAGTAGATCCACCGGTGGGCTGCAGGCCGATCGGCTTGAAGTGGGTCTACAAGGTGAAGCGGGACGAACGCGGCGCCATTGTCAAGTACAAGGCTCGGCTCGTCGCCCGCGGCTTCATGCAGCGTGAGGACATCGATTTCGAGGAAGTCTGTGCTCCGGTGGCGCGAATGGAGTCCGTTCGCTTGCTGTTGGCCATGGCAGCAGCGAAGGATTGGCGTGTCCACCACCTCGACGTCAAGTCTGCTTCCTCAACGGCGAGCTCGCGGAGACGGTCTTCGTCAAGCAAGCTCGGGCTTCGCCGTCAAGGGCGCTGAGCACATGGTGCTCAAGCTGCGCAAGGCGCTCTACGGACTGCGGTAGGCCCCTCGGGCGTGGAACGCCAAGCTCGTCGCCACCTTGGACGAGCTTGGGTTCACTCGCTGCGCTACAGAGCACGCGCTCTACACGCGGCGACAGGGGAAGGAGGAGCTCGGCGGCGGCGTGTACATGGATGACTTAATCGTCACCGGAGCGCGAGCAGAGGACATCGACGGTTGCAAGCGTGAGATGGTGGCTCGTTTCAAGATGAAGCGATCTCGGCGCGCTCGCCTACTACCTCGGCATCGAGGTGAGGCAGGGAAAGCAGAGCATCTCCCTAGGTCAGCGCGCCTACGTGGAGACGCTGCTAGAGCACAGTGGCATGGCGGAGTGCAAGCCGTGCGCGACTTCAATGGAGGAGCGACTGAAGCTGAGCAAGCACAGCACTGCTGCAAAGGTGGACGCGACATGCTACCGGAGTATCGTCGGCGGGCTGTGCTACCTCACTCATACCCGACCGGATATTGTGTTCGCGGTTGGGTACGTCAGCCGTTTCATGGAGGACCCGCGCGAAGGTCACTGGTCAGCAGTGAAAATGTTGCTGCGCTACGTCAAGGGGACGCTCGGTTAAGCGATCATCTTCCACAAAAGTGGCGGCAAGGGAGGGTTTCGGCTCACGGTGTTCAGTGAGGCACCCCCCAAGGCAAAGGAAGGTGAGTTGGAGCTCACTGTTTTCAGTGATGCGGACATGGCGGGCGACATTGATGGGCGACGGAGCACCTCCGGCGTGCTCGCCTTCTTTGGAGCGGCCCCCATTGCTTGGCAGTCGATGAAGCAAAAGATCGTGGCGCTATCGACGTGTGAGGCGGAGTACATCGCAGCGGCCACGGCGGCGTGTCAGGCTGTCTGGCTGCGCCGGCTGATGGGCGAACTGACCGGCGAGGAAGCTCACCAGCCAGCTCTAATGGTGGACAACCAGCCCGCCATCGCCCTCGCCAAGAACCATGTCCTCTACGACCGGAGCAAGCACATCGACATCAAGTTCCACTTCCTCCGGGATTGCATCGATGGAGGGCAGATCGTCATCGAGTTTGTCGAGACCAGCAGACAGCTCGCTGACATCCTCACCAAGTCACTCGGATGCCTGCGGTTCATGGAGCTGAGGAAGATGATTGGCATGGATGAGGTCAAGGCATCGGGGTAGCAGCAGGATTAGGGAAAGAATTGTTAGACATAATCTGCTGCTCCCCATTCTCTCCTTGGTTGGAGACTGGTCGTCTCGGCCGACCACTCCCTGTTGGGAGTTGTGGACTGATCGGCTCTACCGACCAGTTTCTGTAGCTGTAGCAGTATTGCAATAGACCACCTCTAGTACATTAGTTGATAGCTATTACATCAACCATGCCTTGGTAGTGGGCTGAGGTAAGCTTTATACTGCTAGGAGTAGTTGGTATACTTTGTACCTTATGAGTAGGTAGTTGGTGTACCATGTACCTTAGGAATAGGTAGTTGGTGTACTCTTGTACTCAGGAGTGGGTAGTTGGATAACAACTATGTAACTGGTAGAGGTACAGCTAGAGTTGTATATATTCCATCTAAAGGGCAATGGAATACTTAATTCAGTTGCCACAAACCAAAGGGCAGGGTTTAGGCCAACGCTGGTGCTTGTGCTGAGTGTGTGTGCGCGTTGTTCTCAATCTCTTCTTTTACCTCTAGCCATAGTGAGTAAGTGTGTGTGCTGGTAAGCTAGTTGCTTATCTGTGCTGGATAGCCCGAGATCAACAGTAGTGATGTTAGCATGACGAGGGTGAGGAGCCAGCCTTTTGTGAATGCTATTATAAAACCACCAAAAAAGGCAGATGAGAGTTGTATAAGCTTTCCCGCCTGTAAATGATAATAATTTAGTAGATTCATGAACTTTTCTGCGGCAGCAGCACAAGATGATAGTGAGACTGGATGCAGAGAGTATGAAAATAATACAGTTAGCTAGCACAAAAAGAAACTGATGCCGATCATCCATTTTGCTAAAAAGGTAAAATAAGTAACAATAATGTCTGCAGTCTCTCGTGTTTTTGCAGGTCTCTATGCACTTGTGTTTGCAATATGCGATGGGAAAAAAACAAATGTAATACCTTCTCGCCAAGAGCATCCTGAATCACGAGGGTATAACTGGACATCCTAGAAACTGCTTGGCCTGTTGTCAATTCTGTGTCGAAGGGTGCAATATCTTGCCTCAAGACCGCATTAAGGTATAAAGAACGGATTCGAGCCGACTGCCTTTCTCCTGCCATCGTCCAACATGACACCTCTGGGACAAGTGAAAAGCTGAGCCTTTTAATTCAACTGTACAAGCAGAAGTAGACTCTAGCAAAGAAATAGGTGGAGGAAGAATATGCAGCAAATTCCTTTTGAGACTGTGAATGTCGTAAAGCATGATGATATATATAATTTTCCCCAAAGGACCTAAGCATGATCGTCGTAAAGATTAGTTTGGTTGACAAATATTATATACAGTAGTTCGTATCAGTAATTTTTATGTCATACAATTTCATATGGCTATTTTTTCCTGTATCTTTTCTTCACCACAGCTTCGATTGGATTGAATCCGAAAAGTGTAAAATTCAACTTACGAAGAAATGAGACAACAGCTGCTCCATGCCCAAATATATGAAATCCAGAACAACCTGAAGGAGGAAGAACTACTGTTAAGATTGGCTGTTCGTCAATGGTGCTTCAATATAAAATCGGGCTGTTGTTGAAGCGACTACTGGCAGACGACGATGCTTAACCGTGGCTCCTGGGCGGCCGCGGCCTGTCTATCATTCCTCGGTGTGCACTCACCTTTCTCACGCTGCGGACGATGTCCTGTGAGGTGCTGTCGCCGAAGGAGTCTATGACGTTGCCGAAGAGGACGGTCATGAGGGGCTCCGTCACGCCGTTGGCCAGGGCCCCCACCGTGCCCACCGCCATCAGCAGCAAGTCCAGGCGGTCCGCGTACCTGAATATGCCGAGCAGCGACACCTTCTTGGCCGGCGCTGCACCCTGCTTCTTGTCCTCGTCATTTTCTTTGCCATTCTGATCACCGCCGCTGCCACCGGCTCTGCTACCCGTCGCGTCCATGAAGCTCAGCTTGCTGGTGCGTGCTGGAATTTGTGTGTGCTTGTGGAGTACACCCACAAATAATGCACAGGTGCAGTGCCCCCCAGCCACGGCCTAGTGGGGGGCGCTATATATGCGCATTAGTTTTGGTGCGAGGGTGCACGCGCTCGACTTGTCGCCGGTGATTAGAGCCCGGAAGCGACCCGGAACGATCATCGATCACGGATAGATAGCGACGGAGGAAAAACAGAGACCGGTCATACAGGTCAGGCAACAGGCATAGGCAAGGTGCGGTTTGTTTTGCGAGAAGCATCAGTATCAATTCCACAACACAGGCGCAAGCTGCAAACTAGAATCGTGCTTCTTTCTTCTGAGGTTTCGGCTGACGTGTGGTAATAACTTGTTGCTTCCTTTTTGTCATGAACTCACATGATACTTTCTTTGTTTGTATACAGTCAGAGTCAGCTTAGACGAAGACACGGTGGTAGAAACGTTATTTGGAGAGAGTTCACTGGGGAACATATTAGGTACGGACGTACGGTGAAGTTATGCGATCATCCGCATCTTTCCGAGAAGGTGCAGCGTTGCATGTCGGCCCGGCCGTCGGGGTTTACCGATCTACCGGCCTGCGTGACTTTTGGACTTGTGGTATACAAGCTAATTCCTGTTACAACCACATCGCAATTCCCATTCTGATTTTACAGGACTTACGCTGAACTTTTTTTTTTGTATATAGAAGAGAACTGAATGTAGCCATGTAGGCTGATTATGTGAAATTAAATAATGGATTAAGAGCTGATAACCCCACCCGTGCATATTCTTTCTTTCAATAAAGTTCATCTTGGAGAATAATAGAGAATCACTTTATAAGTTACAAAATCACTTCTCAGGAAATTACCAGAAACAAGAGTAGTTCTATCAAATTGTCCACTAGGATCCCAACTACAACAAATTGGCCTATCATCATTTGCTTAAAATTTTAGTTTACTTTATTAGTTTCATCCTAAGTCAAACTTATTTCGATAATGATACGTCATGTGTGTCTGTCCCGTTCGGACGAACCGCTCCGAGCGCCCCTCCCACGTCGCCCACGCCGTTGGGCCGTGCGCCCCACGTCGTTGCTTGCTCGCCCACGTCCGTTCGTAGAGTGTGGACAGTCCGACGGTGCCACCGGCGCCCTAGGCAGAAAAGACGGAGATCACTGTAAGTGACCGGACGCTAGTCTCGGTTGAACCGGCGCGTCTGGTCAGTGGCAGCAGAGGGCGCGCGTTTCGGTCTTCAACCGGACGCTGGCAGGGTGCGTCCGATCAATGCTGACGTACGCTGACGTGGGGCGCTCAGAAGGGTCGTTGAGTGACCGGATGCTGGCTGCGTCCGGTTGAGCATGACCGGACGCGTCCGGTCGTGAAACGTTGTTTCTGGAACCTTACTGGAAACGACCGGACGCTGGAGGCTCAGCGTCCGGTCAGTTGAAGCTGCTTCGTTCGGTCGTCAGATGACCATTGAGATCGGATGAACAACATTTGAAGGAGGGGACACGTGGCGAGTATCACGTGACCGGACACTGAGGTCCAGCGTCCGGTCGATCAGACCGGAGCCTCCCGTCGTCCTGACTTTTGCCCAGTGAAAGGGTAACGGCTCTATTTGTTCATGGGGTTATAAATAGAAGCCATGGTCAGCCTTGGGCTGGCAGCTAAGCACACTACAGCCTTGGTGGCTTATGTGGTGGTGCTTGGGAGCCCTCTAACTCACTCTAGCTTGATAGTGTTCATCCGATTGAGTGAGTGAGTGATTCTAGTGCGATTGCATCGTGAGGTTGCATCGAGTGGCACTAGGTGATCGAGTTGCAAGCCGGTGGTGCTTGTTACTCTTGGAGGTTGCCACCTCCTAGACGGCTTGGTGGTGGTCTCCGTCGAAGCCCGCAAGAAGCTTGTGCGGTGCTCCGGAAAAGAGCTTTGTGAGGGGCATTGTGCTCGCCCCGTGGGAGCCGTGAAGAGCAACTCTAGTAAAGCGTGTCATTGAGCTACCCTCACTTTCGGGGTTGGTTCTTGCGGCGCCCGACGTGCGGGCTTGGCGGGTGATGCCAATTAGCCGCCGAACCACCAAGTGAGCGGTCGACACAACGGGGACTAGCGTGTTGGCAAACACATGAACCTCGGGAGAAAAATCATTGTGTCAACCTTGTTCTTTCCATTGGTTTGCATCCCTGTTACACAAGCTTGCAATTACTTTCATATACATTGAGCTTGTGTTGTTGCTTTTGTAATTAGTTAGCTTGTGTAGCTTGCTAGTTACCTTCTTGCTTGTGTAGCATAGAAGTAGCTCCCTTGCGTGGCTAATTTGGTTTGTGTAACCTTGTTAGTCATATTGCTTAGTTTGTGTAGCTAACTAATTGCGCTCTCTAATTGGCATTAGTTGCCTTGTTATTGAGCATTGCTAGTGAGTTTAGGTGGCTTTGAGCTTTTGCTTACTAGCATGTGTAAGAGCTTCCTTGTTGCTTAAAGTACTAGTGGCATAGGTTTGTGTAACCTTACTTCTAGAATTGGTTAGGTGAGCTCTAGCTAGCCCGGCACCCTTGTTGCTTAATTAGTATCCTTAGAAGGTGCTAGAGAACATAAATAGAGGGGTGTAGTCTTGGCTAGACCGAAAGTTTTAATTCCGCACTTGTTTCGGTTAGCCAACGCGATTAAGTTTAGAAAGGACTATTCACCCCCCTCTAGTCCGCCATCTTGACCTTACAAGTGGTATCAGAGCCCGGTCTCTCATTTGTAGTCTTCACCGACCCGAGAGGATGGCGTCAAATAGGCTAGATGTTTGTGAGACACACATTTTTATGGCACAAACTTTGCACTTTGGAAAAAGCACATGCTTGATCATTTTCATGCAAAGGGACCTAAATTTTGGTGGGTTGTCACTAGCGGTCTCACCCATGTCTTGGATCATAGAAATCTCACCAAAGCTCAAAGAGTTCTATATGAATTTGATGCACATGCTTGTTGTTATCTAATGGATGCTTTGAGCCTTGATTTGATGAAACAAGTAAACATCAAGGGAACCGCTCGTGAGATATGGGAGTCCATCAAGGAAACCTTCGGTGATTCCTCCACATGGGATGATGGCAAATTCAAGGAGGATGAGCCTAAGAAGGAGGTGCATGAGTGTGTCGAGCATGATCACAATTTGGCAATTGTGAAAGATTGCTCCACCTCATGGTCAAGTGATGATGATGATGATCGATCCACTACAAGTTCACTTGACAAGGTTGATGATGATGCCACAAGTGTTGCAAGTGATGATGCTACTACAAGCTCTCCAACTACACCACATTGTTTCATGTCACAAGGTGACACCAAGGTATCAAATGATAATGTGGTTGATCATGTTGATTCATATGATGAGCTTGTTAGTAGACTTGCTAGCATGACGATGTCTTTAGAAAATGAGAAAGCTAAAACATTGAAAATAGAAAATGAAAACTCATTTCTAAAGAACTCTTGTGAAGAACGTAAGAAATTACTTGATGCTTATAAATCTTCACATGATGAGCTAAAATTGAATCATGAGACACTACTTGCATCTCATGATGAATTATTAGAACAACATGCTTCTCTTATTAAAATGTTTACAAAGAAACTTGAAAATAATGAGAGCTCATCACATGGGTCAATTGATCAATCACAAATTGTTGCTAACCCTTGTGATGTAGGCAAGAAGCATGTATCCACCTCATGTGATGATTTATTAGATATGCCATGCTCTTCACATATAGATGCTTGTTCTACTTCTATGTCTTGTGAGACTAACCTTTTGAAGGAGAACAATGAGCTCAATGAACAAGTGAAGAAATTGAGCAACAAGTTAGAGAGGTGCTACAACTCTCAAGTCACCTTTGAGCACATGCTGAAGACTCAAAGAAACTATGGTGACAAGTGTGGCCTTAGCTTCAAGAAGAAGATGACAAAGGGCGAAATAAAGAGAGAAAGAAAGATGAAGAAGATACAACAAAGAAAGCTCTCTCATACCATGTGCTACCGGTGTCATGAAACGGGACACCTTGCAAATGGTTGCCCAAACATTGAGAAGCTCAAGAAGATAAAAGAAGAAGAGAGGCTCAAACATGTGAAGTGCTTCAAGTGCCGTACTTGGGGTCACCTTACCTCAATGTGCCCAACCAAGCAATTGGTGAAGCAACTAGAAGAGCCTCAACCAAAGCCGCAAGTTGAGCAAGAGAAGACACCCCAAGAGCAAATCAAGATCAACCCTGAAGATGGTGGTCATTTGATGATAAAGAAAAAGAAAACTAGAAGGGGTGGAAAAGCAAGAGAAAGAGCAATGCGTCCAAGAATGAATCAAGATGCAAAGCCAATGAGCAAGAACAAAGAAGAGAAAATAGAGAAGATTGCTCACATAAGATGCTATAGTTGTGACACATTGGGCCACCTAGCTTCGGGTTGTCCAAACAAGCTCGAGAAGAAGGCTCAAGCAAACAAGGAGAAGCAAGGCAATGAGAAGCACAACATGAGCAATGAAGAGAAGGCTCAATCAAAGAGAAAGTGCTACTCATGTCGGGAAAGGGGACACATGGCACATTCATGTCCCCTAGATAATAATTCTAAGCCTATTTTAATTGTTGATAATAATGTGCTTAGAAAGGATAGTAATGGTACCTCTATGGTTGCTATTGCAAAATATCCCGCTACTCATACTAAGGCATTGCCTAAGTATGTTGCTCCTAACTTGAGAGGATCCATAATTGTTTGGGTACCATCAAAAAGTGGATGATTGTTTGTAGGTACCATCGGCATTGGAGGATTGGTTCAAATGATATTCATCTTGTTGATCATGTAGTTGAGCCAAGTATTGCTAAGTGATTATCATTATCCCAATGCCATGATAAATTGAGTGAAGTCCAAATGTGCTACAACATACAAATGTCAAATTCAAGTTGTTGGTGATTCATTGGATATATTTGATGGTTTGCAAATAATTGAGTTGAAGCTTGCAAGTTGGATGATCATGAG